GTGTGCCTAACCTGCACCTTCAATTTAGTTATGTACTGACATGCAGTCAAGCTTCAACAATATCCCACGAGCCGCGGGGGGGGGGGGCATAAAGCTGCCCCCCGTTATGCTTTGCGTGATATCTCCGAAACCTGATAAGATGTGAACTTAGGCCATATTTGAAATTTGTTGCTTGCAGCAATTGAGATAACGTCACAGTGACGTCATTAACCCGCGCGCCGACGGGGGTTCGCGCCAACTTTCAACCGGCGGGTGGATAATATATCCCCCCCCCCCCCCGAGATCTCAAGAACGAAGCAAGATAGCGACAAGCGGTAAACGGAATGGGGCACACACGGACAAGGTCTATACAATTTTTATTGAGGTCATTTTCAGCTCAGATCAAAGATGACGTCGCAGAGGTCTAAAAAGTCAAAATAGCAGCGCTACATGAATTGTTTTTTTTTTTTTTAATTCGACTCGGCTGCTCAAGAGGAACGGAATGATACCATTTTGAAAGATTTATCTTTATTATGTGATAAGTTATTGGCACAAACCAGACATGTGCATGGATCCGAGAGCTGGATCTATGATCTCAGTGGATCTCTCGACAAAATAGAGGGGTTGGATCTATGATCCGAGTGGATCTCTCGACAAAATTCAGGGGTTGGATCTATGATCCGAATGGATCTCTCGACAAAATTTAGGGGTCGGATCTATGATCTCTGTGGATCCAGCGGGCAAAAATTTGTGGAGGACCTATGATCTGTATGGATCTCACGACAACATGTAGCCAATGAAACCCTTATCCTACATAATTGTACACCTTACAGTGCAATACAATTGAGAATTGTCACATGTGGACATGGTTAAGACCAGTTGTAATAATTAATTAGGTATCATCATTAAATTTGAATTTAAATCAACAACATTTGTACTACATTTAAAATAAACCAAGAACATGCACATTGCTACTTTTTGTGACCAATTGTAACTTTTTTCATGACAGCACTGATGACAATCTTATCAACAAGCTACAGCCACTTTAGTTCAATGAACAAACAGTACAGACAGATGCAGTGGCAGCGGGGCACTGAAGATTTTCATTTTGGTCCCATTCTTTCCATGCAACGCCAGTAGGGCTAATGTTAAAATGCCAAAATCTATGGGGGGCACTGTACCCTGGTGCCACCCCCCACCCCCCACGCCTGTTCCGCCGCCTATGGACAGATGTTAGGAAATCAAACCTGGAAGCCAAATAGGTCAGTTTTGTTCAAAATAATCCAGCAATCCACTTCTACCAGGTATGAAAACCCAATGCAGAATGTTCGTATGAGCTATTAGTATGTGCAACACAATTTCGATTTAGTAAGAATAGCAACCAACCTCTAATACTGTCCTAATAAAATAACAAGTTCAAAAATGGCATCAACTTCTTCAGATTACCTACTTTTGGCATCGTGCCACGTGTGGTGCCATGCTGTGCTGTCGTTAGGAGAGAGCCTTCCAAAAAAAGACAAACGAAATTCACAGCTCACGTTTTGGTAATATAGTTTTATTACGTCATTATCGTTTGACCAATGAAAAATCTTAATTTGACTAAAACCGTAATGATTCCAAAAGATTCCCCGTAATAGCCCTTCAAACTAATGACGTAAGATATTGTGATTCTTTTGAAAAGTGAATAAAATAAAGATGCAAGGCGCTCACTCGCGTATAGCACTAATTGATTGTCTTACGTTTACGTCATTAAATTCAACGCTACAAAGATGATATTCACAAACAATCGTATCGTAAAATTATGTGAGGCAGAAAAAAATGAACATTCTTTTGAGAAAAAAGTCCAGGCTTTTGAATTTACAGTTTAATTTTTTATTTATTTTCATTATACTCGAAGGTAGAACGCTTAGCTCATTTCTTTTTTGAAATGACGTCACGAGTTCTATTTAGATACTGAATAATCATTTTACGATAAATATCCAAGGCCATTACAATTGATATTTCGCTTCCCATCGCTTCCACAGGCTGTTGAATATTTTTATACTTTTGTTTATATCTCAGTTTCCTTTATCAAATATTTCTTTCAATAGATTAAAATACCTGTCCTTTACCTAACCAAGCCACATGTGTCAGTATCATGTTTTATTGTTTATCAATCAATTGTGTAGCTGGAAACTGGAAAGCCTCATGGTGTCTAATGCAAGATTGTCTTATCATTATGTAGATTCTAACATGAATTGTGATGTGATAGGTATCTAATAATGTATTGTTCATTTGTCATTACTTTGACTTACCTCTATGTTAATTGTTAATGCAAACTTTTCTGTTGGTATGTGAACAATCTTCATGTCACTCAATTCTCTCAAGTTGTGACCGTCATGAGCCTCCTTTATTTTGTATTCTGTATAATGTAACTGGATGCCTTCACTAATATGGCCTTTGCATAAGATTGTTTGTTTCTAACCATACTTTGGTATTCATAACTTCTTATGAAAGAAAGTTGTTAACATTTTGAGCACCTATGAGCTATGATCCCAATGGATCTCACGACAAAATTGGGGAGCCAGATCTATGATCCGAGTGGATCTAGCGACAAAATTGAAGGGTCAGATCTATGATCCCAGTAGATCTCTCGACAAAATTGAGGGGTTGGATCTATGATCTGAATGGATCTCGGATCGGGATCCATGGGATCGGATCTCAGATCCATTTTTCCGGATCCAAGCACATGTCTGGCACAAACATCACTTGACCTCATTTGACCTTATTCGACCTGACCCTTGCCATATGTGGAAGGCTTTTGGTGTCAATACATACAATACATACATACATACATACATACATACATACATACAAGTACAGTCTGTCCTAAAAGTACCGCGCAAAGTAGCCTGCGCCTGAGTCAAAGAAGCATTTAGTCATTAAAAGCCCATGTTATTACCGAAAACATTTTTTTCGTGAAAAGGGGCTATTATAGGTTTTTTTTTTGCCTTCTGAAAGCTAAACTGCTGATCTGATGTCAAATCTTAACCCTCGCATGTGTGCGGCGTTTGCCAGCTTCTAATGTGTAGGGGGGGGTCGGTTGGACCCCCCCCTTGCCGTTTCGCCCCTGATCGAGCTAGAGCTTCGCGGAAAAAACGAGCGTGTTGCCCGTGACGAGAGGAAGCCGATGATACCCAATTTTAAGGTCCTAGGTCATTGGTTGACCTTCCAGGTCAGGTCAATGACCCAAAGTCGGGAAAATCGGGACCTGTTAGAAAGTCGTAAAGTGTGGGTGCTAAGGGGTTTTTCGGGGTGCTGATCACGAATATCGTGTTAGTTTTGATCACAGATGATGTCTTGAAGCATTTAGACCAGGTCGGGTCAGGTCAGGTCAGGTCAACCAGTAGGCGTCGTGACGGGTATTCGTAGTACGTGTCAACCGCCTCTGACAGCTTCGTAACATGTTACGAAGTCACCAAAACTACTTCGTAAATGTTTAAATGGTTGCTAAATTCGAATTCAGCTCCAAAAACTAGCCTAGAAACATGTAAAACTCGAAAAAGTGACCCGAGGTCACCCGAGGTCACCAAAGGTCAATGACCTGACCTGACCCTCAGGTGACCTTGACACAGACGGGAGTAACATCAAATCACATGTTTGAACGTTTGAAACCACGAAAAGCTTGCAAACACGCGGCTAGTGCGAGCCGACATACGCGAAATCGCGATTCCGGCCAAACATGGTCTCGGAAAAGAGGTCACAGGTCAAAGGTCATTTGGGTCAGGGTCATGAAATTTTCAGGGTAGGTGTCAAATTGATCAATGCGAGGGTACTGAAAGTTTCGTCGCGATCGGCCGCTTTTTACGCGAGTTATTCGCGAAAAACCATGGGGGGGGGGGTCCATCCGACCCCCCCCCCCTACACATGCGAGGGTTAAGACACTCAAACGAAAGAACTAAAAGACCTATCGAATGCGCTTTTCCGCGATGCTGTAGCTCTATTGGTTCCTGAGTTAGCCGTCGGGTGTCTCAAAATTGTTGAAATCGGCAAAATTTGACCTTTGATGACCTCTGGTGACCTGACATTTGACCTCACCTTAATAATCACTGAAGTGTCTTCTTCCTTATTTTTGACTATCTTTCGATTGCCGCCTACCGCGTGTCACTACGTGGCCCAGGAGCCGAGTTAGATGGGGAGGTGGGGGGCGTGAAAACGCCCCCCCCCCCCAAGCACTCGGCGGAAAGTTCAGGCCACCAGCACGACGCGGAATAATGTGGCTAAAAGGAGTGAAGTTAGGTATATAAAAAGTGCTATATGGCTCACCAATAAATAACTAATTCAGCTACCGATCTACTCAACAAACGCCACTTAGCGCTTCCTTCCTATTTAACCTTTTAATTTCTTCACTGCTCGTGCAGTGCTCATTTTACTCGTGCGTATTCAATTGACTCATCCCCACATAAACACTGCACGGAAATCCATTTTCCGCGTCATTCAGCTTCTTTTGGAAGGACAGGCATATTCCCGATGGTTTGCTTGCAGGCAGCTTCATTGGAAGCACCTATACCAGGTGCAATGTCGCGTAAGAAACTGTAACATGCTTCAATTTTATGGAAATCAAACGGTGTGTTTTTGTCAGTCAGCTCCGCCCGGCGGATGTCGCTTTGATGGAGGTGCGGCTCTCCCGGTAGTCTGGGCCGGTAGTCCGGCGGCGAGGGCGCGCTCACACGCAGACGAGCCCAGACTCGCCCGCTTTCATCCTCAGAACGTAACAAGTACCGACACCAATCTGACCGCTGAGTATAACAGACACTTATACCGACACCATTCTAGACCTAGTGTAACAGATAACTAGCGACACCAATTTGACTCCTGACTCCTGAGTGTAACGTATGCTGACAACATTTCTAACCGAGTTCTCGGCGTTTTGATACTGAATGCATTTGTGACTGAGTGTAACAGACACCGACTGAGTTCCTACTACGTGTATGTAGTCGATAATGACCCCACTGACCCTATGTCGGACCGGCTGCCGTCAGAGCCCGTGACGGACCTGCTGGGCGGCCCGGAGCTCTTCATTGACGCCCGGAGCACCATCAACCTGACCTGCCTGGTGCGCAACTCGCCCCAGCCGCCGGCATTCATCTTTTGGAAGCACAACGGCAAGGTGAGCCGCGGCCGCACACTGCACTGACCGCACACACTGCACTGACCGTACAAACACAGACCGACATGTTGGCGATGCCCTACGGCCACACTCGTGCTTCTCGGCGGGTTTTAAAGCTGACCGCTGGCCGTTGGTCTCTTGTGTATTAAGTTGCGTCCACGTGGGAGAAATGGTGATCGCATGAACGAAACCGGAGCGATCTCCCTGTGCGCGTAGACGTAACACGGGGCGTCGCCAGATGTAATGACCCCCGGCTCCAGACTGGCTTTAGGCTGGCGGAGCAAAAAAAAATATATATATCACGCGAAATTTTGGCAGCCACCATTGCCCTTTGTATCAGACCCGGAGTCGGAGTCGGAGTCGGAGTCCGTCAGGAGCCCGGAGTCGGAGTCGGAGTCGGAACAGCACTACCACGACTCCGAAACCCTGGTGTGAATGTTGTGAATGTTTAGGTTAGTACCGCGGATACGGATTACTAACCTAAATCACCACGCAGTAATCGCAGTAATGCCCACGCAGTAATGAGCAGTAATCGCCACGCAATTTGAAAATGTGGAGCACTCATGATTGTTCAATACAATACAATACAATACAGCATGTATGCATACGCCATCGTAAGCGAGCCTGGATCACCCATTGTTACCTAAGCGCGTTGAAATAGAACAGCTCGACGTCACTTGAAAGCGGACAGAGGGACGGCCTTTCAGACTGTGACTGTTAGCTGCCAGATCAAATCAGCAGCGGAGTCGACAATGGACCAGTTGAGGACAAGCGCACTCTGGGGAGGCAACCTCTCGGATTTTCACATCCTACTTCCTCTCCAATCATTAAGGTGATATTCAATAGCAAATGATCGTGTGATAGCAGTACACATTCCTTTATCATTACATAGGAACCTTTATTTAACTTGTACTTTGGGTGGCCCAGAAAAAACGCACACAACTTTAAGTCAATATTCCTCAGAAACTGATAAAGATACAACTTTGAAACATCGAAGAGTCAATGCGGCACATATGTCCAGTAAATGGTGTGATTTTCATGCTATTCGGTAAATTACTTTTTGAACGGTTCGTGTTTTAAGCATGCCATGTAAAAATTACTTTTTTGCTCCGATGTTTACTAAAAAATGTGAGTGAACGGGTTGCTTCGAGCAGGAAACTTTCACCTTCGCACTTTCACCCCGGCACCGCGGCCTACAGCCAGGACTGCCACTGGCAGCTAGTCTCATTGATGGTTCGGGTCTCAGGATGACACATTCCCTCAGGCAACCACGATGGCTCTGTGCCAGCGGCAACATTATCGGAAGAAGTTTCCAGTGTTCTAACCATCTTGTGGCTCAAATGCTTTCCTGGCTGACATCCCTGGGAAAAGGTAGCTTTTCAACCAGTTTTTTTTTTGTCATCTGCTGGCTTTGTTGTTTTTCATGAGCTATTCTGTGGTCTTCTGGTACAGGAACCAGTCTGCTTTAGTTTGTTATCCTTATCCGGTCGATTTACTGTTTGATCTACTGAAAGGAGGGTAATCAGCAGCAGTCCATGTACATACCACGCCACTCCTGCTCGAAACATGCTTTGGTGTTGAAACGAATGGCATCCATGAGCACCATTTTGGCTCAGTATTTGAAGATTTGACACATAATTGATACAAAAATATTTAAAATAAGAAGATACGTGCTGGTTTCATTCACGTGCTCTAATTTTCTATTCTTTTTTTATAACATGGAACGTCTAACCCAATCATCACTATCGTTCGACATCGGCAAAAAAAGCAAAAACGTCTTGCTTAATTGAACTCAAGATCGTCAGCTTGAAAATCATGGTAAAGTGTTATAATTTGGCATTTCAATGCGCAAAGAAATGACGCAAACTTGATGAAAATTTTGGCTCGTTATTTGCACTCGAATTTGAGATATAAGCCTCCAAAGTTCGGAACGTTTTTTCTGGGCCACCCGGTATAGTCTTAAGTAAACTTTTTCACACTCATTATTTGATTAGCAGTTTGTTCAGCATTTCCGTTCCCTTCTCCACCGCTGAATACTACATGTATATAAGCCCATCTTGATATCATTTAGGTAAATAATATACCTGTAAGACCTGGTCCAGGTAAGCGTTCAATTTATGTTAATCTGCGCCCCGTAGGGCTGTCGGCGGACCATACCACCCGTAGGGGGGGGGGGGCACCCCAATGGGGCGCGGGTCAAGATTGTAAAGAATGGCCTTCGTCAATTTTTTGTATTTTTTTTCCATTAAGTAATGATGTGGAGGCCGCAAAATTGAGCTGACCTCATTTCATTGGCATTGAAAATCAAATATGTATAACTTGCACATTGTGTCACTATTGTCAACCGTTGAAACTTCAAAGCGACCAGTCAGTGTATCGCTCTGACGAGCACATGGATACCTTCTTTGCTTAGGTTACCTGACCTAACCTGGTGACCAAATCTCGAGGAGTTGATCTGAAATTTTCGGTGCAGAAAAACAAAATGCGTAAAAGGGTGTGCCCAAAGCCATGTCGCTCCATGCTGGAGTTTGTGTTTATGATATTCGTGTAAAAAGGCATGGAGGGTGTGCGAGAAGCCACCCTCGAGATACTTGCGGTCTACGGAATCCGCGTGTGGGGTCCGAACACTGCCCTCCAGCCAGGCACTCGATATACTGCACGGGCATTTCACAGGATCCTCTGCGCGGGACCACACGGCGGTTTGGAATGCTCTGCGGCGGCCGGCACCATCTTTGAAGCTGGGCTGGTGCCTTTTTGCGCGCTCCGCACCCGAGAGTGTGCCCGTGTGAACTGAGTCGGGTGCGGTCGGCCGGCGGGACTGGAGTGGCGTGCCGTCCGCCCGTCTGACAGGTGAGGGCCGGCCGGGGACAGAGCGGAGGCTGCCAGCTGCGCCGGCTCGGGTCGGCCGCTAATAGCGGAAACTGGAGCGGCGGACCGACCGACGCGTCGGTCGGGGACTGATCCACCCACTGACAGACTGATCCACCCACTGACAGAATGATCCACCCATGGACAGACTGATCCACCCACTGACAGACTGATCCACCCACTGACAGACTGATCCCCCCACTGATAGACTGATCCACCCACGGACAGACTGATCCACCCACGGACAGACTGATCCACCCACTGACAGACTGATCCACCCACTGACGACTGATCCACCCACTGACAGACTGATCCACCCACTGATAGACTGATCCACCCACTGACAGACTGATCCACCCACTGATAGACTGATCCACCCACTGACAGACTGATCCACCCACTGACAGACTGATCCACCACTGACAGACTGACCCACCCACTGACAGACTGACCCACCCACTGACAGACTGATCCACCCACTGACAGACTGATCCACCCACTGACAGACTGATCCACCCACTGACAGACTGATCCACCCACTGACAGACTGATCCACCCACTGATAGACTGATCCACCCACTGACAGACTGCTCCACCCACCGACAGACTGATCCACCCACTGACAGACTGATCCACCCACTGACAGACTGATCCACCCACTGATAGACTGATCCACCCACTGACAGACTGATCCACCCACTGATAGACTGATCCACCCACTGACAGACTGATCCACCCACTGACAGACTGATCCACCCACTGATAGACTGATCCACCCACTGACAGACTGATCCACCCACTGATAGACTGATCCACCCACTGACAGACTGACCCACTGACAGACTGATCCACCCTCTGACAGACTGACCCACTGACAGACTGACCCACCCACTGACAGACTGACCCACTAATTGACACACTGACCCACTGACGACTGACCCACTGACAGACTGATCCACCCACCGACAAATTGACTGATCCACCGTCTGATAGACTGTCGAGTGTCGACTGATCCACCCGCCGACAGAGTGACTGATCCATCGTCGGCCGGAGGGATCTTCCGACCGTCTGGCAGACCAGTCCATGCGGAGTGGAATTGCGAGGCAAAAGGACCGGACGCCGAGCCGCTCTGTCAGAAAACTGTCACTAACATCGTGACACCTGCCCGCATACGGCCCTGCGCCGGGACGGTGGCGGTCAATGCAGTCATCCAATGAGCACAAATACGTGCTCGGAGCGTATCCCTATCCCTAAAACCTAAAACCTTGCCATCCCTAAAACCGAATACAAAAAAGCATCCTTATCGTATCACGGTTGTAAGATATGGAATGGGTTACCTCCACATTTACGACAATGCTCTATCGCCGAGTTTAGCAAATACCTTAAAAGTAAAGCGGATGCTGGCGAATTAAGCGGTTAGGAATGTAGCACTGCGATGCGTCTTATTCGAATGTGTATACCTATTGTGAAGTTGTGCATAAGTGTGAATTGCAAATGTTAACAATCTTGTATGATATGTGCGAGCGGTGCGAGGCTGCGTTATCTGTGCTTTTGCCAGTTCCCGTCGTAATGCCCACTTGTTTGTGGTTGTCGGGTGAACCGAAAAATAAATAAATAATAAATAAATCTATAGCGCCGTCAGCGGTGCTCCGCGCTCACTGTTGCTTCAGTGCAGGGGCGGCGGCTGTCCGAGCTCATTGGCGGCTGTGTCGGTGGGCGCGGGTGCTGATGTGCCGCGTCTGATTGTGTGTCAGCGGAGCCGTGTGGTCGATGGAGGAACAGTGACACTGGCTCAGTCCGCCGGCCGCGGCGATAGCGCCGACCCTTTGTGCGCGTCGCGGCGCCGGCCGCCGGAGTGGCCCCCGAGTGGCGGAGTGGCCTCCGGAGTGGCCCCCGAGTGGCGGAGTGGCGGCCTGTGATGCCGGCCGCCGGGACGGGCCGGCCGCCGGAGTGGCCCCAGTGGCGGCCGCCGGTCCGGGCCGGCCGCACAGCACGGGGCTGACCTCTGGGGACCTGGTACACACCGTCCGACGGAGCCTCTGGAGCCGGGCGCCGTCACTGAACCTTCTCTGACCGGGCCGTCCACTGAACCTTCTCTGACCGGGCGCCGTCACTGAACCTTCTCTGACCGGGTCGTTATTGAACCTTCTCTGACTGGGCCGTCCGCGCCCGAGCAAACTGTGTGAGAATAATATCACCTACAAGATAAATCAAATTTCTGCGTGCACCGCAGCTGCGGTTACAAAGAATTTCAGAGATGCATATGAAATTGAATGAATCGTGTCGGTGCGTAGCAGCCGCGTCGTGGGCGTAACAGCATGTATCCTGCGCAGTTCAGCAATGTCTGTCCCACGCGTCAGTGCCTGGCTACATACAGCGCCGTGTCACGGCGGCCAGTCCGGCGATATGGAGGCGAGGCGAGCCGGCTTCATGAAAGCCGCAGCCACGCGCAGAGGCAGGAACTTTTTTAATCCGCGCCGTGCTGGGGGGCGGGAGCGGGGGGCGGTGTTTTTACCCCCCCCCCCCTCCTCAGTTTTTTTCACGAATATCTCTAAAACGGTATACCTGTTTATACATCTGTTCCACACATGTGAAACATTTCAGACCCGGGTCGTTCAAGGTCAGGTCACCAGGTCAGGTCAAGTGACCTTACCTAGATCTGCTCGGCCTCTGCCACTGGTCCTGGCCTTACTCGGACGGTCCGTCCCGTCCCGTGCCGTCCCGTCCCGCGGCGCTGCGCTGCTATTTGTCTCTGTTGCGCAGCAGTTGAAATGTCGGCTGGTCTGCTGGCCGGACGGGGCCGCCGTGGCGTCGCCATGAATTTCTATGGTCGGCGGCGGCGGGTGCTCCGCTGCGCTGGCCGCAATGAATCAACGAGCTCTGCCGGCCGGCCAAAATGTGCCGCTTCGGCCGCCTGTCCTGTCCTGACCGGCCCTACCCCGACCCTGTCCCTGCCCAACGACCCTGCTCTACCCTGACCGATCCTGCCCTGCCCCTGCCCTGACCGATCCTGCCCTGCCCCTGCCCTGTCCTGTCCTAACCGATCCTGCCCCTGCCCTGACCGGCCCTGCCCTGCCCTGACCTGACCGACCCTGTCCTGTCCTGCCCTGACCGACCCTGTCCTGCCCTGACCTGACCGACCCTGCCCTGCCCCTGCCCTAACCGGCCCTGCCCCTGACCGTCCCTGCCCTGACTGACCCTGCCCCTGTCCTGTCCCTGCTGTCCCGTCCCTGCCCGGCCAGGGTTCGGCGGCTGGCGGCCCCCGCTGCCGCGCGCTCGGCCGTCTGCGAGGCGCACTAGCACAGCTCCCTGCAGTGTTTTATTTATTTATTTATTTCACGTCGCGACAGACCCATCCATTCGAGAACGGCTATTCCGGGCGTCATGTTATTTGGAAGATGTGATGGATAAAACATTCGCTCTTAGCACACGCATACAAAACACACTCACGGGTCCTCATCGCCATACTGCTCTCGGAGTAGCAGTGCTCGGTACTGGGCTTTGAACTGCCGCGGCCCCAGGCCTCGCACGGCTGGTGGCAGTGAGTTGTATGTTGTCACGGCTGAATAAAGAAACCGTCGGCGGCCTGACTCTGTGCGGATCGCTGGGGTCTCGAAAAAGTCAGCTTGGCGGGTCTCCCTACCATGAACACTACGGCGGGTAACAATGCCTTCACGCAGCGACTCAGGCTGTCCCGTAGCTAGCATTCTCTTGAGCAGAGTCACCGAATGAAACCGCCACAAGTTCTCAGCAGAGAGCCACTTCAGGGTCTTCATGACATCGCTGACATGGTCATACCTACGTCGGCCAGACACCACCCGAGCACCGAAGTTCAGTAGCTTCTGAACTCTGGACAGCTGGGTCACACCGCAGCAGCCATAGACTACCGGACAATAGACACAGCCAGAGCCTGCACCAGTATTGTCAGTGTGTCCCTGGGCAGCGAGTGTCTACTGTGGCTGTGGCAGTGGTATGTAGGAGTTTGACAAGCATCTATTATAGGGCCGGTTGAAAACACTGCCTTACCACAGGGAATGTCGCGAAGCGTATGTTTTGTGCGCGCCAACGAACCGCGCTGGCCAGGTCTTTAACTGTGCCAGTTGGCGTGCGGCCACTGTTCTCAGCGGGGGTGGAGCACCGCCCGCGCGGTCCGGTAGAGGTGAGCCGCCGCCGCCGCATTCATAGCTCATCTGTCGGAGGTGGCGGCGCCGCGCCTCAGCCGGCGTCGATTTATGATCGCGTGAAATATCACCACGGCGCCATTACGTTCGCTAATGAGCTGCGGCCGGGCTCAGATCGGCCGGCCAGCAGGTGATAATCACATGCTCGTTACTGGCGGGCGGCGCGGTCGGACCGGCTGGGGCCGCAGGGGGTTCGACCCGCCACCGCCTGCCGCCGCTCGTGCAAAGGTCGCTGCAGAGCGAGCACTGCGGTTGGCGCGGCGGCAGCGCGCCAGCACCGGCGGACCTTCTGAGGCGGCCAGCGAGCGCCCTAAGGTCAGCCGGCGCCCCGTCAACTGCTCACAGCGGTACTGTGACGCTGTGGCAGACAGTGTGTGCCGGTGGCGGCGGCGCGGCCGGTCCGGGACGCAACTCCTTCACCCAACCATCGACCGACGGCCGGCGCCGCCCGGCGTCCGTACGGGCGGCGCCGCCCGGCGTCCGTACGGCCGGCGCCGCCCGGCGTCCGTACGGCCGGCGCCACCCGGCGTCCGTACGGCCGGCGCTGCTCGGCGTCAGTGCCGTGACCGGCGGCCGGCCAGACCCGGCGGTCTGCGCCCGGGGCTGTGCCGGGACCGGCGGTCGGCGAGACCCGGCGGTCTGCGCCGCCCGGCGCCGCCGGTGCCGGGACCGGCGGCCGGCCAGACCCGGCGGTCTGCGCCGGGAGCCACCATTACCCAGCAGACAGGCCGCCAATAGTGCAACGGAAACGGCCACTTTGCGCCACGAGCTTCATTCTGCTGATACCCTCTACTTGACTGACGATTTGGTCATTCACAAACGGTTTCACTGACAGTGCAGTACTTTGTCAGTCAGAAATGTTCCTCCAGTGCATTATGGCGATACTCAGTGCTTTTTTCGGCGATGACTGTCCATCAGCCCACACAACGTCGCCGGCTTCCCGGTACTGTATCAGTTTGAGGCACTGTACCGGGAACGATTGTTGGCCGCACTGCGCTGTAGTATACATGAAGTTGTGAATGGCTTGGGCAGCAAATGTAACTAATGGAATCAGACACACTGGCCGCGCGGCTCGTATGGTTTTGGTTAGCACAGAGTGATTCCTGGTCGCCGCCGTCTGTGGCATGATCCGAGCAGTCGCGCCGCGGCGCACATCGTGCACCCCAGCCGAGCGGGGCCCAGCGGGGCCCAGTGGAGTCCAGCGGGACCCGAGCGGGGCCGAGCGGGGCCCAGTGGAGTCCAGCGGGGCCGTACGGGGCTCAGTTGTGGGGGCCCAAAGTTGTGGGGGCGGTGCCCCCACAACTTTGAGACGAAACACCGCACTTTTTATGCAAATGTTTTCTCTTTTTTTTGAAAAAGTCAAGGGATGAAAAATAAGTCGCCTAAAACCGGTGAGAAAATTAGATTTGGGGTTGATCTCTATTATGGTGTGCTCCCCCCAGTCTGAAAGTAGTTCCCGCGCCCCTGTAAACGCCATTAATATCCAGTAAGCTGGGCTCACAAGTTCGCAGCACATTCAGCAATCGCTCTCACAAGGTACTCCTTTTTTCAATTAATTGAACTGTAAAGGCATTGCTTTGGAATGCTCGATATCATACAAATGTGTAAAAACGGCCCAGCTTTGCCTGACGCGTGCCTGCTGAGTGCCATAATGTGAATGCGCCGCCCACTGCCGCCAGCTCAGGTCGGGTCAGGTCAATGCAGCTGTTGTGAACTATAAGTAGGTATGCACCGCCCTCGGGTGAGCTGGGTGCCGGAATATGCTGCACCGCTCAGCGCGTGAGCCGGTGCCCGGCGCCCTCAGGTAGTGTGTGTGGTGTGACCGGTGCCCGGCGCCCTTAGGTAGAGGGTGTGAGTCGGTGCCCGGTGCCCTCAGGTAGTGTGTGACCGGTGCCCGGTGCCCTCAGGTAGTGTGTGACCGGTGCCCGGTGCCCTCAGGTAGTGTGTGTGTGTGTGTGTGACCGGTGCCCGGCGCCCTCAGGTGATCACGTACGACTCGCCGCGCGGAGGCGTCTCCGTGGTCACCATCCAGGGAGAGGTGACGTCCAGCCAGCTGCTGATCCGGGCGGCGCGTGCCACCGACTCGGGCCTCTACTCGTGCCAGCCGGCCGGCGCCGCCCAGAAGAGCCTCCGGGTGCACGTGCTTCAGGGTGAGTTCCTTCTGAGTAGCCACTGCACTGGGGGGCGCCGGCGCGGCGGTCGGTGGGGGCGGGTAAAAACCAGCCGTGCCGGTCATGTGACAGCCTGTCAGGGCTAGTCGCTACCAGTGATGTCAGTTACAGAAAATTGGGATGCCGGTACCAAAATAAATGCCAACCAAAAACATGAGAAAATAACAAAAAGTCGCACCGGCTTGAAAAAAATTGAGAGAGATGCCAACGTTTTACCAAATACACTTTTTTACCAAATACGCTAACACAAACACCAATTCTTCAGTTCTGTATTGAGAAACGTGATCATCGATCAAACACATATCGAAGCGCACACAGTGCAGACATGACTGCGCTGCGCCCCGGTTTTCTTATCTTCCGCCTCCGATCTCAGGACTTCAGGAGCGAGCTGATGTACACAAACAACGCTAGTGACACTTCTGATGGAATGCTGCAAACATACTGCAAACAATACTGCAAACAATGCTGCAACCAGGCAGCCGAGAGGAGCCCCTGTTTCATAGAGTGAGAATCGCCTCTCGCTGAAAGCCGACTCGACGATGCCCCCCCCCCCCCCCGGTGTTGGCGGCCATGCACCACGCCGCCGACCGACCGCCCGCCCACCGCGACACCCGTCCGCCCGCCCACCGGCATCTGACCACCCGCCCACCGCGACACCCGACCATGCCGGACAAACGCTTCTGTAGCGCCGGTCAGCCCTGTGCTAGGCGCTACTAAATTCTTCCCCGAAATGATTTCTTGGTCCAGAAATGATTAGGGAGGGCTCAGCTATGGTGGACTAAAGGACACACGCTGTGCGAGCTGCTGTAGGCCTAACAATATCAAGTATTTCTAACAATAAAGAACTGTGATTGCAATATGATGACAAATAGTTGCATCACTCCGCCAAACCAAAAGAGATACGGCTTTTTGTGACCCGGCATGAGAAGCAGAAGGCTTTGGGGATCATTTTCATGTACTTCGGTGACGAGGACTTCGCACCAGCAGATGTCACTGATCAGCCTGGGCCGCGCCCAGCCTCTCGGAGCAGCCTGGGCAGCACCCAGCTGGGTCAGAGGCCTCGGAGCAGCCGGCCCCGGCTGCTCAGCCGGGGCGGAGGTCTCGAAGCAGCCTGGGCAGCACCCAGCCGGGTCAGAGGCCTCGGGGCAGCCTGGGCCGCGCCCAGCTGGGACGGAGGTCTCGGGGCAGCCTGGGCCGCACCGAGCTGGGACGGAGGTCCGAGAGCAGACTGAGCCGCTCTCGACTCCACGTAGAAGCTCTCCCCTGGCCATTCCTGGCCCATCGGGTCTGGTGGTTTCGCCAGATCAAATCATGCCGATCCCAGAACTCACTATTAAGGCTCCAGGGAGGTCGGAGAGGGGAACAAGGAAAGGAAAATGTATGATTATAACAAGTTCGCCGTACATACAAGAGAGAGCTTCATGATGAGGAAGAGCAAAAGAAGAGGAAGACCCAGTTGAGGTAGCCCAAAAAAAGAGGAGCTGAGAAGGCTACCGAGTAGACTAAAAATCCGACGAAGAAAAGGTCACAGAAGGCGCGCAACTCATATACCGATAGCGCTGCCGTTTGTGGTGCCAAGCCAGCTAGAGCAGCTCTTTGTCACACTATCCGAGTAGGTTTTTACTGGCTGTGGTCATTTCAGGTCAAGCTAGGTCAAAGTCAATGATATGTGTTTGTATGTCTGTGTGCGTCTGTGTGTATACTGATGTGTGCACCGATCGGTCTGTGTATCCCTATTAATCATGAGATCATGATCTGAAAAGCTTTCAACAAAAATGCAGTCAAAAAACTTCACGGAAAGTAAATTCAGCAAGCCAAAATGCAATGTTTATAGATGACCTAAGTTGACCATGACTCTGACCCTGACATCTGCACATCGTCGAATAACATGTTCCATGACAGGTGGGAGGTAAGACTAGCAAAAACATACCAAAATCAAGGTGACAAAAGCTCACAAGACCCATAGCCAATGCCAGATATTGAGTACCTATTGGTCATTTGGGTCATGACATGACCTGGAAAACGAGGTCATATCTCCGAAACCAAATACCTACCACTGAAACTTGAAAATTTCAGCCCTCAATGTTGTGTGCGTTTTGTTTTTACTGTTGGAAGTTGGAACCATGGCCCAATCTTTCCAAATGCCGTAAATGCGCATTCACGGCATTTGGTAACATTCAGAACTATTCCACATTCACCTACTCATTCGTTCAGGCAACATTCATAATCATTCACACTATCAAAATCATTTGACAAGCAGTATCTGGATGTAAATAAAAAGGATGTCTTTGATATCAGTGCCGTAAACTCCTCCCAGTGCTGCCAGATCCTATTTACGGCATTAATAAGATTGGGCCATGGTTTCAGAAACCGATTAATTTTTTTTTTTTGCCACCTTTTTCACGCAATGTCGTGATCGCAACTTAAGTCACAGCCATCAGAACCACACTGTTCTTGAGTCAATGAGGAGCAACCATTGTAACTAATTGATGAAGGTGAAGTCGCCAAACATGTAGGTCCCCGTGTCATATTGACATAGGCACCGGTCCCCGGACCATTAGCGCGAGTCTGCGCGGCGCAGCTGTCACAGTGCGTCGCCCCAAGACTCGTTGGACGCGGCTCGTCGCCGGCGGGGTCGGCTGTCAGTCCCCCCCCCCCCCCGTCACGTCGCCGGTGGTCCTCCTCGGGCATCCGTGACCGTCTGTCGGCCGTCGGCGGCGGCCACTGACACCTCCTCAATAGTGGCGGCTGTGCGCGTGCCAAATCGGTGCGCCGGGCCGTGTCGGCCTCGGCCGGCGCACGGCAGCGACTGTGCCAAATTTGTCGGCGCTAGCTATTTTCGAAAAAAAAAACTTTAGGGGGTGGGTCGCATCGACCCCTTCCCTGCCAGGGCGAGGGTTAATCCACGGTTTAGCGATTATTTTTCAGTGAATCCGCGAATACGGATTCTTTTTTAGAGAAACTGCGAAAAATAATATTTAGTGCTTATTAATGCTGTTATATTTGTACAGGCTCAAAGATTTTTAGCCAGTGACATGCTTTCCGATCGCCGAGCCTTTTGGCGCAACATCAGGGACTTCGCTTTCCGTCCTTCCCGTGGTGGAGCTGGTGCTGGCGAGGGGGTACCACCGGGTCAAGAGGACACTTTTAACGCCCATTTCGCAGCTGTTGGGCCGCGAATCGCTGCTGAGCTGTCCGCCAGTGACCCCTCCCCACTCCCGCCGCGGCCGCCGTGTGTTACGTCGGCGGGGCTGCGTCTGCAGCCTGCCACGCTGCCGGAGCTGTCGCTGGCTCTGAGTCGGTTGTCTTCGTCCCGCGCAGTCGGGCATGATGGTGTACCGCTGCAGGCTATAAGATCGTGTTTTACTGTCATAGGCTCTCATATTTTACACATTGTGAACGCGTCCATCATTTCTTGTACTTTTCCCGACACAAGGAAGCTCGCTACAGTCGTGCCTTTGCACAAGTCCGGTGCCAAAGATCTACCAGGCAATTTTAGGCCAATCTCTATTTAACCTGTGTTATCAAAAGTGTGTGACAAAAATTGTTTGTACTCAGCTGTCATCTTATCTCGCTCGCTGTCACCTTTTAGCTCCGTCACAGTATGCTTACCGATCTAGACACTCAACGGAGGACGCGCTGATCGACGCGGTGGAGTGGATGACGCGGCGTGTCGACGATGGTGATGTTGTCGCCGTCACGTCCATCGACTTGAGCCGGGCGTTTGACAGTGTTGACCATGACGTTAGAAAGCTGTGCTGGTATGGTATTGATCCTAGATGGTTTCGTAGCTACCTGACTGGTCGACGGCAGGTGGTGAGAGGTGGTTCCTTGTCCTTGCCTCTTTCCCATGGGGTTCCGCAAGGTTCCCTAGTCGGTCACATCCTCTTCAGCATCTTCACAAATGACCTTCCATCCTATCTTCCTCACGTTCGCCTCATCTACGCCGACGACACCCAATTACTTGACTCGGCCCGTCCTAAAGATCTATCCATCCTTAAATCCCGACAGGAGGATACCCTCCGTGCTGTCCTCTCCTACTTCACATCCAACTCCTTAAAAATGAACCCATCCAAGACCACTCTGCTCCTTGTCGGCAGTGCCCAAAACCTTAAGAAAACCTCATCCTTCCACCTTAGCCTGCCAGACTACTTACTAACACCCTCGCCATTCGTGAAGATGCTGGGAGTGACCCTAGACCCCACCTTATCCTGGGAAAAGCACATCTCCAACGTTGTCAAAAAGTGCAATTCCATCCTTATATGTCTGTATAAAATTCGCCATCATCTTAGTCCCGACATCCTTAAGCTCCTTATCCAGTGTCATACCTTTCCTCACATCCTGTACTGCCTCTCTGTCTGGGGTGGCGCCGCTGCATGCCACCTTCACCGTGTGCAGAAGGCGATGAATTTTGGTGCGAGGGTTGTCTCTGGCGTGCGCAGGCATGACCATATATCGCCGATCCTAGCTGCGCTGGGCTGGTGTGACGTGCGCGAGCTGGTTGAGCGCCGCGACTGCCTCGGCGTCTACAGGGCGCTGAGGGACCCGCACGCTCCCGCGGCGATCCGCTCCCTGTTCTTCCCTCGTACAGCGGTTTCCCGGCGCAGCACCCGGTCGACTGAGGCAGGCGCTCTCGAGCTGCCTCCATACCGCCTGTCCGCGTCGCGCCGCGCGTTTTCTTACTGAGCGGCCGCGGCGTGAAACCGCCTGTCGCCGGCTGTCACCAGCTCTGTAACCCGCGCCGAGTTTCTGCGCCGGCTGTCGAACTAGTCGAGGGTCTGGTTTGTCCGACTTTGGACCGTGTTTTTATATACCTATCTCTTGATTGTGATTTACTGTGATATTGACTGTGTCATGTTTTTATCTATGTACTCTGACTCGGACTAAATATTAAGCCACTATGTGGAAATATCCTCAATACACCGAACTTGAACTTGAACTTGATACTTGAGTGGAAACCGAATCCTGTTGCCGATGGGAAGCTGCACGTGAAGTAAAAAAATGACTCATTTGCCGACATGACAATAACAACCAGAGTACCGGAATGGAAAACTAGCGGACAAAACTAGTGTTCCCCAGCCTGTCTAGGTGTGTGTGTGGGGGGGGGGGGGGGGAGCGGCATTTTCTGTTCTCCGTACTGTCGGGGTGGGGTAAGGCTGGTCTGTGCTCTATTTATGCACTGTCGGGGGTGGGGTGGGGGCTGGTGAGCAGTCTGTTTTCTGACCTGTGGGGACAGTCTCTGTTCCCGTCCTGCTGAGGACAGGGAGCGGAGTCGGAGTGGGGTGGGGGTGGTAAGAAGTCTCTGTTTTCCGGCGCCCTCTCATCGCCTCTCTCGGCTCTCTGTGCTTCAGGGGAGAAGCCGGCAGCGATGCAGACCGGCGGCGGCGGTGCGTTGCGCCCGGCCGCCCCGCTGCTGACGCTGCTGACGCTGCTGATGCTGCTGATGCTGCTGAAACTGCCGCTGCACACAGCGCTCGGCACGGCGGCGGTGGGCGGCGCGGCGCCCCGACTGGACTGACCCCCAACGTCCCTCCCTCGGCTGGCTCAGCGGCCCTCGGCTGGCCCCCAGCGGCCCTCGGCTGGCCCCCAGCGGCCCTCCCTCGGTGGGCGGCGCGGCGCCCCGAATGGACTGACCCCCAGCGGCCCCCGGCTGACACCAGCGGCCCTCGGCTGGCCTCAGCGGCCAGTGCCTCCCGGAGTGACCGCCTTCCGGCCAATGGCACAACGCAGCGCGAGAGGACACGATAACGCTCCTCCGGTGACCCATACACGGTCCCGCAGCTTTTAGAAGCTTCTGTTGGTCTGTGCCCCTTCCCGTTCGTTCCACCGCCATTGGTATATTTATTTGGAACGGTTAAGCAATCAAACGGTTCAGCGCTATAGATCGTTTTCCTCAAAAGTGTTTTGGCTCCAAGTATAGATACTTTCACGCGCTCTTGAAGCCTTTCGACTTCTTCTTTTGACTTATCGCTCTTTTCACTGGCTAAAGCCAGTGAAAAAAGCAAAAACTGAGCCTGAGAAAATTGAACATTGCTTGATTAAAATATGTGCTCTATTCTCGATTGTTTCTATCGCGGCGCCTTTTGGAACTAAATATGAGAACAGCAATGAGGCAAAACTTGCATTGCGATGTTGAACGCTACGGTGGACAGAACCGCTTGGGTACTCGATTCTGACATCGCTGATACTGAAAAACAGTGTGTTCCTGAAGCTTATGACACTTTTTGCCGTCAAATTGCCGTTGAGAGCTAGTTTTATCCAGTGACATCATAGCCTGCGCCAACTAATCTACCGAGCACAAATAAAGAAAACAGTTAAAATATATTGGCGGCTGGAATTTCTTGGGTCAACCTCCGTTAGGTCAAGTTTTCGAAACTCAGGCAACAGCTTCGGTAATGAACTTGGAGCCAAACCTCTCTGGCAAAGAGCGAGCTTAGAGGGACCCTCCCACCTTCAAAAAAGTTATAGAATTGGCACGAAAGTGATGTCGCTCGGTTCAGAAAGGGCGAAAACGAATATCTACCAAATTTCATCGAACAATATTCATCGGTTTTCAAGATATTAGACTTTTACTTTTGTTTACTTTTTTGGGATCTCCGCTGTTCCTAGCGACTTTATTTGAAAGTGCGGCACTTGTTGCGCGCAAAGCAGCATATACCACCGCGTGCTACCAAACATTTTAGTAAAAGATTTAAAATCGTTACATCTACGCTGACGTCACACATTCAGAGGGGGCATTCTAATGCATTAGCCCCTCTGAATGCAACTTTGAAATTAGTTATTTTCTATTTGAGGCATTTCTCGATCTTGTGAGTGCTCAAACCGGTAAGTGCAAGCCAGGGACCCCATTTTGGCTGTCTCAACTCAAAACTAATGGTGGGATGGTCACTTTAAAGGAAATAGTTCACTTTCACGAAATTATTTTTTTTGCAATGGATTTATGATTTTTTATGTTCAAAATGATCAGCAAAGAAAATAAAACCTATTTATGACAAAAGATTATTTTCTATATTTTGATATAGGAAGAACTTTTCAGTTTCTGTAAGGCACAGGCGATCCAGTATGAAAAGAGCATGGGTCCCGAAAATTCTTCAGAAACTAGAGAAATTATCGCGGCCACCGGCATTTGGGCGATCTGCTGCTGCTGAATGTCCTTATTGACCAGTACGAGAATTTCTCTAGAGTTCTCGTAGATAATTTCTCTACTTTCTGAAGAATTTTCGGTACCCATGCTCTTTTCATACTGGATATGAATATATGCAAGGCACCTTTTTCGGGACGAGAAATAGAATATCTTTGCCTAGGGTGATCGTTGGGCTGTAAAAGCTCCTGATTTATGCTCGTCTCAGCCCAGGCTACGGAACTGCTATTCCAGTTCAAAACCCATGTTAAAAAGTGAACTATTTCCTTTAAGTCAGCATGATTTGCTGTCGTCAAATGCAGTCAAATGCAGTGACATTTCGTCTTTAATTCGACATTTCTGGTGGAGCCCTTCATTTTAGTTCTGTGAACTTCATGCGCCAAATACCGAGAAACAGTGCACACTGCACAGCGCTCGGGGACTACCTCCGTGACACCGAGTGGTCACCTGTAGTAGTCCCCGAGTACCAATGCACCAGCTGCTGAGGCCGCCCGCCACTACACCAGTCCCCCGAGTACCAATACACCAGCTGCTGAGGCCGCCCGCCACCACACCAGTCCCCCGAGTACCAATACACCAGCTGCTGAGACCGCCCGCCACTACACCGAGTGGTCGCCGGCATCGGGTGAGCCGCCATTGTGTCGTGGTGAGCTGAGCAGAGCAAGGCACGGCATGAGCAGTGGTGCCTCAGTAACGAGCAGAGCGGTGGTGACGAGCAGCGGTGGTGTTATAGTGACGAACAACGGCGCACTGGTGACGAGCAGCGGCGCCCCATGGTGATGAGCAGTGGCCCCTGCAGGTGACCTCTCGCCAGTGGTGCCCGGGTGACGAGCAGTGGCCCCTGCAGGTGACCTATCGCCAGTGGTGCCCGGGTGACGAGCAGTGGCACCGTGTTGCCGCGCGGCGGCGCGATAGGCATGGACTGCGCTGCGGTGTCCGGCATATCCGGCCGGTTCCTGTGTGTGTTTGTGTGTTGTGTGTGGGTATGTGTGACAGTGAGTTCAATGAACACACGGACCGGGCCTCTACAGTGGACAGGGCAGCGAATCGTGTGCGTGTGTGTGTGTGTGTGTGTGTGCGTGTGTGCGTGTGTGTGTCAATGAGGTAATGCTGCAATCAGAGAGAAAGGGAAAACCGTCGTTAGAAGGTATATGGTACATACGAGTAGCAACTTTTTTGTTTGCTGATCTCATTCAAGAGATTCGACATCTGTTCCCCGTTTGCGTGATACTGGATTATCAGAAACAGTATACCTACTTATTTGTTATCTGTTTATCGAGGTACTTATAAACATTATTAACATGATCCATATAGGTGTGTACCTACATATGTCTTAGATGTATTCGAGGAGCAAAGCTGACCACAGATTTCCTGAAGCAACCAGGTTAATCCTATAGACTAATTATGAATGTGTTATGATTACTTTGTTGTCATCTTTGTTCGAATGCATTTAATCAATCATATCTGATATTGCACACATTGGGTTTAGATCACTACAAACGAGATGAGTTTGGGAGGGGCACGTGTCAAAACATGTCATATCGTCGTTCATCATATGGTCATGTGGCTGCTTAATTAAGGATCTTGGTTATAACTTATGAATGATACCTGCCAGGACCAGCGTCAGGTTTCAGCCAGTCAACATTATCTGCATGTAAGCAGTGTGTGTGCGTGCGTGCGTGCGTGCGTGCGTGTGTGTGTGTGTGGGGGGGTGCGTGTGTGTGTGTGTGTGGGGGGGGGGGTGCGTGTGTGTGTGAGTGTGTAAGTGTGTGTAGGACGTAGGTATCTGGGGGTATCCACTTCCAGGTGCATCCATTTGCGTAGCTGGCGCCGGCTAGGGGCTGTTGTGGATCGAGTCTGAGGGCCGCTCTGGACCGAGTCTGAGGGCTGTTGTGGACCGAGTCTGAGGGCTGTGCCCGGTCTGGCTCTGGGGTGGCGGCCACGGCTGATTTCGTTCCGCGCGACTGGTCCGTCAGCTCAGATTAGTGCCCGTGCCGATGTGGCCGGCAGAGGTGGTCTGTCATCTCGCGGGGACTAGAGCGGGACCCCCCCCCCTTCTCCCCGACCTACTGTGAGCCCGTGCCGTGCCCCCGCCGCCCGCGCCGCGGCGGATGCCCAAGCTGTCGGCGGGCCGAGCGCGGAATTGTAGTCGAACTCATATTGCCCCAAGTGTCAGACATGATGCCGAAACTTCGCTACCCACCGACAGACGCACGGAGCGACGAATATATAGGTATCAGTTTTTGTAAACTGTGTGGCGGCCGGCGGAAGTTTGCGCCGAGACTGGCTCGTTGCCGTGCAGGAGGCGACGGTAGCGGTCGGCCTGTCGTCTGGAGAGCGCTCGCACCGACCACCGTTCCGCGTCCCCGGGAGGGCGGGCTCGGGACCGCTCAGCGTCCCCGGGAGGGCGGTCTCGGGACCGCTCAGCGGAGGGCGGGCTCGGGAACGCTCAGCGGAGGGCGGGCTCGGGACCGCTCAGCGGAGGGCGGGCTCGGGACCGTTCCACGTCCCCGGGAGGGCGGGCTCGGGACCGTTCCACGTCCCCGGGAGGGCGGGCTCGGGACCGCTCAGCGGAGGGCGGGCTCGGGCTCACTGAGGGTGCTTCAGCGGCCAGGGTAACTGTTGGTATAGCTGGATGAATGCCTGCGGAGTTCTGTTCCTTCAACTTCCCGTTCAGGCGTGGGATGGGCTCGATGCCATTCCGATACCATCTAAACATTAGCAGAATAACAGAATACTGATGCATGCATAATACCTATACGCGCAAGACTGGGGCATTTTCCATGACGCGGTTGACGGGGGGGGGGGGGAGGGGCGGGGGCTCAACAGAGCCAACCCCCGTCCTTTCTCGGACACTACTCGGCAGATTATCAAAATTCAAGCGACCTGCTGTATATGACGTCACTACCATAAATTATGTCATCATTTTAACCCTCGCCGGCCGAGGGGGTTAAACCTAAGGTGCTGCCCCCATAGGTTTTTTTTTTTCGCGATAACTCCGAACACGCCGGCGATATAGAGCTAAAACTTGGCATACCTGGCCTTTGATTAATTTTGACACCAACTGCATTTTCAGGTCAGGTCAGGTCACTGATCTATGACGTCATAAGTGAACCTCGGCACGGTCTTCAGATGTCGCAACTTCGCAATGCCCTCACTGCCAGAGGAGCTTTCACAGGGAAATGAAACTTGCAGGCTCTAGTATCCATTACGAGTATCACAACTTGTATATCTCGGATTTTTCTAACAAATCATATGAGGTCAGTTCATCTTCTTGACCTCACCATTATAAGTCAATGGGGAAAAATGAAAACTGCTATTCTGGCGCCGGGAACGATCTCTATCTACTATCTCAAGCACACATAATCGTGATTTGATGCACTCCTTGCAAGGTTAGGTAGGTCACTTTTGTAATGTTGATCTTGCGTGACGCCATTTATGACGTCATCAAGGTCATATTAGTTTTTCGTCAATAACTCCCGATCAAATTGAGCTAGCGAGTTGGGAAAGCCACCAATAGACTCCGAAAGACCTGCCGCATCATCCGCAAGAGAAATTCATCTGCCTTTTTTTAGAACCCCGGTAGAACCGGGGCGCGTCCGGCCATTAGCAGCGGATCGCCGAGCACCAGAAACTGACCCCGGCCTGCCGGCGGGCGCGGTCCAAACAACGCCAGGTTAATGCAGGGATGCGCACCAGCTTAGACATTATATCACTAAGATGGACTCAGTCACGCGCACGTTGTTTTCGCAAGCCGTTCGCGTCACATCAGATTCGAATTTGCTCTATGCTGAGTTTCCAGTGAGAGCGCGATTTAATTCAGGACAGCCGAGAAAAACAGCAGCCGGCGGCGCGCGCGCGCAGAGGGCCGGGTACGAGTGGCGCCCGGTCCGCCGCTGACGCCGCTAGGAGCCACTGTCTCCGGTACCGTCCACTACACGCACATCGAAACGATGAAATGATGCAAAAATGCATGTTCATTTGGATCCTATACTAACAAGCGGACAGTTCCCTCACTCGCCCTGGATGAGTGCCGCGGTAGCACCCACCGCTCTGCCCCGTGCAGTGTGTTGAGGGATCTGGTGTCCGGGCCGCTCTTTGTGGGGTGTGGTTGTCCTGGACGGGTTGCGTTCCAGTACGGGAGCAGCATCGGGCGGGAGGGGGGTGAAAATCTGCCCGCCACAGTTGGGTATCGTCGCAAATTTAGCCTGCCGGCCCATCCGTCAGCAGGCGTGGCATGATGGAGCTCTAATTCTTCCTCAACTTTGTCGAGCGCTGCCCGTATTTCGTAGTGTAAATTATGGTCCGATAAATTGTCCTGTGCATTGCCACACCACTTATCTTTTTCCAAAAACTTCGCGACATTCTTCGAAGCTCTTGATGGTACCAAATATA